GTTGATCTTGCATACCAAGCACCTCGCAGCTTCCAGATCTGAATTTTCGCATTGACATGCAAGATCAGCTTGGCATCGCTTATTTTGACTCTCCCTCTGTCTCTCAAAATCGTACAGCAAATCTTTGACCATCTAATAGGTTTCTCAATGGCCAAGGCATGGTTGCAGTCGGCTCGCAAGCTGGCTCCTCTAACTCTCTCCCTCCTGCTCCTCCTCGCCGTCACCAGCGCCAGTGCCGCGCGGTCTAGCCTGCATGCGTCCCCCTCCATCACCAGCGCAACCCGCAACGTCGCCAATCGCCGTGTGCTCGCCCGCGCGGATTCCGCGGTATCTCCCCACGAGGTGGAGCGGAAATTGTTCAGCTGGGACGATTTGACTGAGGAACAGATCATTGCCGGCAACTTGGGCACGATTGACGGTCCAAGAGACGACGCGGTGTCTCAGTCGGTCGTGGAATTATTCTTGAACGCGGGGTACAACGTGAGGGTCATTCAGAGCGACCACTCCGTGCAGGGCGACCCGGCGTCCGCGCAATTGGAAGTGCGACATTTGGGGGATGTATCGAAGTTCACCATGTATCATAAGAAGGGTCGTTTCTGTGTGAAGAATCTTGGCAATGGCGGGTACAAAAACTGGGCGTTCGGAGGCGTTTGGGAGCGGCACGGCGTGGATAAGAAGGTTGTCGTCTTTTCCTGATTTGGTTGTTGCTCTAGAGCCTTGGCGTTCAGGTTTACGGTAGTTGAAATGATGAGGTGACCTCATCAACGGTGCTGGTGTTGTTGTTATGCTTGTTGCTGTGAAATGACGCTGATCCACAGAATGCACTGATCATCTGTACAATTTCACCTGTACCTTCACAATGCCATTGTCAAGGCCTCGTGGGCTAAACCTACTGCTCTTAATGTGCTTCAATGGGTACTTGCGTAGGGCACATACAGAGCAATCCCACAGTATGTTTAGTGACAAAAACCATGAATTGACAGACAGCCATTGCTTATAGCACACCATAGAACTGTTTGTTACAACCACAGACATCATTGAAGGCTGGAAATGCGAAGCGAGAGGCCCACACCTAATCATTGTTGAGCCTGCTGACGTGTACGGGCTGCACCGCTATCGTTATAGGTGATACAATCTGAACCGTCTTATAGGATCGTCTCAGGTTGATCGCACGGAGTGTAGCAGCGGAAGATTGCTAGGTAATGTTGGGTACGGACTCTGTCAGTAGAAGGAGAATTGGATCTCGACAGAAGTGAAATAACAATTCGGTACAGGGGTTTATATAGGAATACAGTGGAATACGAAAGGTCCTAGCTAGCCATGTACTCTGAGGGGGTGCATTCCCCTTAGGGCTAATCTAGATGCAGCATCGCAATAACCGTGCGGTTCGGTAACCGTACGCGGTCCGGTAACCGTTTGAACTTTTCCCGCGCTTTGCACTTCAAACTCCTTCTGCTTGTAACTGTCTCGATAACTGTCTCGTCGCTTGGTCTTTCGTCCTCGCTGCAGTCATCTTCGCGTTAAGGATTTGTTACTCAGGAATGTTTATTCAACTATTCCATATCGTAACACTCCCCTTCATTCCTGGAGGAGCGAAGTCTTGACGCGCTTGGTTATGCCGCAGATGTTTCCGCAGTGATGATACTACTCACGTGGCAGCTTCTTGGTGAGGAAGTCGGCTGCCATGTCACCAGTGGGGCAGTAAGTCAAGATGACTTTGCCTTTGTCAACTTCGTCTTTGACGAAGAAGTAGCGGAGCGCGATGTGCTTGGTGCGGTTGACGAAGCCAGGCTTGTTCGCGATTTTTATCGCGCTTTGGTTGTCGCAGTGAAGTTTGAAGCTTGCGGATGTCGCAATTTTCGCCTCTTGAAGCAGCTCCTGAAGGTAGAGGCCTTCGCGAACAGCTGATGTGGCAGCGATGAATTCGCCTTCGGCGGAGGAGGGCGCCACCATTTCTTGCTTCTGGAAATTCCAGGAAATTGGTCCGGTGGGCTCGAGGCGGAAGAGGAAGCCGGTTCGGGACTGTCGATTCGCAGGGTCGGCGGCATGATCTGCGTCCACGTAGCCAACGAGGCTGAAGGAGCGGGTCGTGAGAGTTGAGTAGGTGAGGCCAATGTGTGGCGTGGAGATGAAGTACTGCAGAGCGTGCTGCAAATCCAGCATGTGCTCCCCTTCAGGCCGCTTGGCATACTGAGCGAGTTGGCTGGCGATGTAGGACAAGTCAGGCCTGCACGTGACTGCCGCGAAGAGGAGACAACCGAGTTGCTGCTGGTACAGCTGATGACCAGAGGGGTTGAGTGGGGTTGTGTTGGGGAGATGCGGTGTGGCTGGGTTGCGATAAGGAGTGGAGAGGTTGGCGGGGTGGATGTTGAACTTGGTTGCGAGGGTCTCAGCATACTTGGAGGCGGAGAGGTGAATGGCGTCAGTGGAGTAGGAGATGTTGAGACCCAGGAACTGGGTGACTTGATCGGTGCTGGTGATTTCGACGCGGTTGCTGAGGTTCTTCTCAAACTGAGCGAGGAGATCATTGCTGGTGCCGGTGTAGAGGAGGTCGTCAACGTACGCCGTGAGGAGGATGTAGTCCCCGTTGTGTGCGCCAGGTCCCGTGTAGCGAGTGAGGAGATCGAGGCGATCATGGACTGTGGGGTCGTCGCGAGTCCTGCGCGGTTGGAAGATGGTGAGTGCTGCAGCAAGTTCTCCATCGCGCATGCCAGTTGGTTTGGGTGTCTGCCACTCTGCTTCCTCAATGATGTCCATGCCGGCGGGCTGGATGACTGGTCCAGTGTCCTCAGTGGGCTGTTCTGACGGTGTTTCTGTCTGTGCTGCTGCTGCAGTGAGGCGTCGTGCTGCTGCAGCAGAAGATTCTCCTTCGTCAGCCGGCTCTTTTCCTCTGTTAGGAGGCGGGCTGGCTTGGCTTGTAGTTTGCACAGGTCTGTCTGTAGTGTCGGTTGTGTCTGCTGTGTCTGTTGTGTTTGTTCTGGAGGCAGTTGGGGTTCGGCAGTTGCGGCAGAGACCATCAGGTCCAGGTGCGTGCAGATTGATTTCTCTTGGGTGAGCATGATGCTTGATCCAGGGGCGTCCGTCCGGGTGCTTGGGCTTGCGGTTCCATTTAATATCTTGGGGCTGCAGGTCGATGAGGTCTCGTGAGTCAGCTCTGCAGTCAGGGATGTCAAAGTCGAGTACGTATACGCCGACTTCGGAGTGAGCTCTGCCGATGTAGTGCAGTTCGCTGTCAAGGTTGCTGTAGTCCTTCCAATGCATGAGGATGTCCCGTGTATCGAGATTGAAGGCCTCCCATCCACTCGTCCCGATCGCGCGCACCTTCACGGAGCCGCCCTTGCATGCGCGGCCCGTGCAGGAAACCTCGTAGCACGTTCCGCAGCCCTTGTTGTTGTTGAACTTGCTGGCAGGCACCTGCGCAACCTTGCCGAAATAAGGACTGCTGCGGAAGCGACCTTGGAAGTCGCGGTAGCACGTGCCGTCGTTGTTCAGGTCGGAGGAGCTAGCAGGAATGGCGACGGCAGGAGTGAGTGCGGAAGCGAGCAGGACGATTCCGACGCACAGCAGGCTGGCGACCTTGGAAACGCGAGCCATCAGAGAAAAAAGAGCAGCGAGAAAATCAAGGTTTGAAACCGACTTTGGGAAAAGCGAGCTTGAATATCAGACAGAGGATGCTTGGAAGGTGGTCGATTTGAATGATGATGTGGTGCAGAAGCAGGAAACTAATATAGTTGCGTGACTGGGGAGAGATTCAGGAGTTGCGGTTTGGGGGCCTAGCGCAAAGTGCGGCTTCGAGTCGCATGTCGATTTCCTCCCGTTTCTAGTAAATTGGCCATGTGCATTGGAATGGCAATAATTTCAAAATCTTCGCGAGCTGACAGTGGCGACGGTAACGTAAGCTGTAGGTCAAACAGTGATGGCGAAGGGCTCAACGATACTTTTCGTTGTTTCGTCGATTTATTGGTGGGCAATAATTTTCCAGGATAGTGGCGTGGTAACCGTGGTTCCCGTCGGTTGCGGGTAAGTCCGACTTCCAGTAAGGCGAGAGGCTCGACGATTATTGGAGCGTCGCAACTGTCGTCTTTGGCCGTGAGGCGGCTTACGAGGGAGATGTCATTGTTCAACCCATACGAATTTCGAATTCTGGTAACTCCGCACGTTTGACGACCCACATCCACGGTGGTAACACGTAAATGGCCTTGCTGAAGAGCAATTCGCCGTTCCACTCCCATGCAAACACCGTTGAGCCCCTCGCCAACACACCCTTTGACCTCCAACCTCCGTCTTCGTTACCGTCGCCACGAGGTCGGTTCGCGAAGGGCTCAAAATTATTGCCATCCCGCAGCACCAGCCCAGGTAGGAAATTGACGACTCGAATCCGCACTTTGCGCGGAATCCCCACCAAGTCCCAACTCACTCCCAGATCTCTCCCAGTCACGGAACTTTATAATCTCCTGCTTCTTCACACTATCATCATCGAAATCAACCACTACCCTCCAACATCCACTGCCTAATATTCCATCTCGCTTTCGCTGCTCCTTTTCCCCATGGCTCGCGTTTCCTAAGGTCGCCAGCCTGCTGTGGGTCGGAATCGTCCTGCTCGGCGATTTCGCCTCCACCCCTGCCGACGCCGTTCCGGCTACCTCCTCCGACCTGAGCAACGAAGGCACGTGCTACAGCAGATTTGAAGGTCGCTTCCGCGATAGTCAGTATTTCGGCATGGTTGCGCAGGTGCCTGCGAGCAAGTTCGACAACAGCAAGGGCTGCGGAACGTGCTACGAGGTTTCCTGCACGGGCCGCGCATGCAAAGGCGGCTCCGTGACGGTGCGCGCGATCGGGCAGGCCGGCGAGAACTTCAACCTCGACAATACCGCGTGGAATAAGCTCGTCGGCGGACAGAGCGCGCAAGTGGAGGTCACGTACGATCAGGTGGATTGCTCTAGCAGCGGCGGAATGGCGGTAAGACTTATGCCCGATGCCGGCCAAAACTACTTCGCGCTTCAGATTTTCGGAGCAGCGAGGCGCGGGCGAGTGGAGAAGGTGGAGATATCGAAGGACGGCAGCGACTGGAAGAGCATGACGAACAACGGATGGGGCGCGACGTGGGTGCTGAATCCCGCCGCGGGCGTCGTGGATGCGGGGCGCGCGGTGAGCGTGCGCGTGTCGGGCAGCGGGAAGCAGGTGGTGCTGGACGGCGTGATTCCGAGCAAGTGGAGCGCTGGGAAGATCTACAAAAGCAGCAAAAACTTCTAGATGTCGATTTCTGCTGCTAGTAATGGAACGCGCTGTAATGAGGTGGTGCTGGACGGTGTGATACCGAGCAAGTGGCGTGCCGGGGAGATCTACAAGAGCAGCAAAAACTTCTAGACGTTGTGGCGACATGGGTTGCGCACAGGTTGCGATAGTTGCGGCTAACGGGATGCGCTGTATCAAGGTGGTGTGCGCATGAGAGTGCGTGCTAATAATGCAGCTACCGTGGCATGATAGTGCGTGGTAAATAAGGCAGTGAATACAGGCTAGCAGTGCAAGTGCTATAGCTGCATGCTTTCTGTTTTCTTGCACTGTTTTCGAGATATAAATATGTGATTACTGCACTGCGCAATGAATGCTGTTGCATTCTATCAATGTGCTGCAATGCCCCATATTGGACTACGTACATGCAGATTATAGTACACGGAAATCAGGCACAAGCTAAGTGAAGCACCTAGCATTCCTTCCTTTAGATCTGATTGAGACTGTTCCACCAGCACCCACCATTGTCTCCAACCCTCTCGATCAAGCAGTTGCCTGCCTGTTCCCTACTCGCTGTCCATCACACCGTCCTCCCTACGCTGCTGCTGCCTTGTGCTTCTCCCAATGCCTTCCCGCTGGAATGTGACAGCCACAGCCAAATCTCCACGCCTAACCTTCTCCATGCAGCAACAGCGTCAGCTGCTGCTCTTGGCTTGGCACGTAGCAGCCTTCCAAGTGCCATCACCACTAAAAGTGGATTGAATATACGGTAGTGCTGCACGCGACATACGTAGTGATTCTGCGTACATTGAGTTGTAGGACAACACAACTTACGAACACATGCATCTACCTAGAACACTCTACAACACAGGATATCTTCACACGCGAACTGCCTCAAACGTTTCCTTCACGACCCCTGCAGGTGAACAGCCAGAAACTTGATGGTGAGGCAAACACAAATGCGATAGCAGATGGTGCCCATTAATCATGACATTTGTTCTGCCTCACACGAACACCTTCACTGAGCTATCTATTTCGTCTGATCACACCTTGTGCTCTTGTTGGAAAAAGCGATGCCGAGAGACTTCAGCCGCTCCAGCTTGGGCAGCGGAATGTCTAGTGTCTCGTAGTACAGAATATCGGCCATCTAAGGTTCAGGGAAATCATGAAACAGGAGAGATGAAATGTTTCTCAAAGAAGCCAACTGCACAAATTGCATTTGGGAAAATGGATGGAAATAGAATACAGGAAGAACATATGTGACCGACAGATGAATCATCAGTGGCTCATGAAGCGAGAAGGGGATGCTTCTCTACCACACACTTTTGGAGAACTAAAGTTCCTCATATGATGCGAGAATGGGCTGTGTACAGGCAAAACCTAGAGCTTCTCGTTGGGTTGAGCACAAGCACGGATATCTTTGGCACAATATTTCTCTTCATGAGTTCACAATCTTGTTTATCTACACGTAGTCAGCCTCAGTACCTGGTCGTGGTGGGCGAGCAACTCTTCGAGGCAGTTGACACTGCGGAACTTGACAGGAGACTGCCTCGGCTGCTGCAAGTAGCAGTTGTGCCTAGTGAGGCGGATCTTGGAAGGGTCGGGTAGCTCAAGCTTCTCTGCCAGCTCACGCACCACATCGTCGTATGTGTCCTCCTTGGAACTGCAGGAGGGCAGGGGAGGAGGAAGTGAACGAGGGGGGTTCACTACGTGCAAATTCAGCAGGTGCAATTTCAGATGACGACCACGCGACATTGGACTTTGAACTTCAATGATGCAACCACGAAGTTTAATCCTCATGCTCATCAGCAGCATGAGGAACAATTTCTTACCTCCTCTTCCCCCCCACACCGTTCCACCTTCGTCACTAGCTCGTTCTCAAACTTATACCTGATTGGAATGGAAGTATACGGGAAGCGAGAGAGCAGCAAAAAATTAATTGGACCTAAGAGAGTCGAGACAAAGGGAGCAGATATGTGCCGAAAGGCGACTGTATGTTTCCAAAACCGGTCACACAGACAGAGCCATCATCGGCTGAAGAGAAGGCATGAGCGGGTGAGACAATACAGGCAACATGGATACCGCAACCCTAAACGCAGGCGATCTCTCACCACTGGCCTGTGAGATCCGGTCGAATGAGGGTGTGATATTGTCCGTCAGTAGCACTGCCAGTGTGGACCACAACACTGAGGACGGGTGTGAGTGTGCGGGTGGATGTGGGTGTGTGCAAATGAGGGTGGAATGCGCAGTGGGGGGAAACGGATGGGGAGAGAATGGGTAAACGGAAAAGTAAGAGCCATCATGAGAGGTCAAGCATGCCGACGCAGATGGGGTGGAAGAGAGGAGAAGTCTACATAAGGAGAGGATAAGGGAGAACACTACATGGAGGAGAGGGAAGGGGGGAAGAAGGGACGATTGAAAATAAAACCAAAGTAGGCAGAAAGAGAATTAGGTATTCAGTGAAAACGACTGCAGTAGAATCTTTATAATGAGACATGCACGACGGAATGGTAATCAAGTTAGGGCATGATGATGGTGCCCTAACTTACGTTGTTGCCCAGTGAACGTACGTTGGGGTAACAAAACTATTCCAGCACTCCACACATTGAGACACAGATTGACATTCCAGATGTGGAATACGAGGACTACCTGGTCACTAGACGAGCAGCTCCAGGCAGTCCGGACCGGAAATATACCCATCCCACAAAGCTCTAGACTTGGACACCATGAAACAGCTCACATTGAGACATGTGTACGATTCCACTGCTTTCAGCACCAACTTGCCCCCATCAACCTCAAACCGCCGCACCATCAACCTAGAGCCGTGCCCACCTGTGCAGCAGGTAGAGGTTGCGCACACTTGTGTCTGAGAGCGGGCTGAGGTACTTGTGGTTGCCCGTGTCCATGTCCAGCTCTTGAGGGAACTCGAAGCGGTCGTTGAGCTGAGGATGGGGGAGAAGAGACAAGGGGAAGGAACAGGGATGAACAGGAGAGACGGACGGCACTCCAAAAAAAAAACTCTTTGCAAAGCTGAAACACGAAATACACCTGTTAGTAAAGCATGGTGCAAGGATAACGATTGCCTCAGGATGGTGCAAAACTTTGTCCAAAGAGCACCACACAGACAGCAACGCTTTCAAAACCCGACGTTAATAGTTAAAAGTAAGGCACGTGCCAGTAGAATACCTTGACCACAGCATCGGTGGTGGCATCATACTCGAACCGCTTCATGTGCAGCTGTAGCACCGGAGGGAGGTCAACAAACAGCACCCGCATCCTGGCATCCTACGGATGTGCAACAGGGGGGTCAGCATAGCAACGAGAACAACAGGGGCGGGAACTGTGGCATGCACACAGATGAAAGATTTAGCTTTTAAGAGGAGCAAAGAGATAGAATCCTTCGATTGAACCGCAAAGCCTTCCATCCCATACAAGCATGCAACTAGAAACAGGCTTTATAACAAAGAAAGAGCACCTACCTGGAATCCATGCTGTTCTGCATAGAACTTGTTGTCACCTCCTAGTTCCTCCACCTCCACATATTTATCCAAACTCGCATACACATCCCGGCACCCCTTCACGTCCAGCTGCACATCTGCATGAGAAGACAAGGTCATGTCAGGCCAAGAGACAGAGAAACATAGCCCCAAGTCCCATAATAATGCTGAAGTGGTAGCTTAACTGCTGGGCAAACATTTGAAATAGCAGATTACACAGATCTTAAACACTCTACTCACCCAAAAACGGTTCCTTTCGAGCGGACATGCAATCCATGTGGGTACAGTCGATAAGGCTCATAGCATGGCCACCAAAAAGCTTCTTCACAGTGTCTGCCACAGCCATACCTTCCATCTTATCCTCCACTTTCGCACACAGCACACGGTTCAACTCGTGCGCATCGTGCTTCAGGAACGAGTCATACGTGTCCCACCCAAAGCTCCGAGTCAAGTGCTTGGTTGAAACACTGGAATCCGCGTGCTGGAGCTTGTAAAAGATGCTCTGAAGTGCCAGGGGAATGCTGCTGGATGGGGGATCGTCCTCCGATGTCGGTATGCGGTAGACAGCTGCCTGGAAGAACGGGATGTGGTACAGCATTTGCAGCACCGCATTCAGGTAACACGTAGCCCCCTGGTTCTTGAGACCCACGAATCCTGTCTCTTTCCTTGAGTCGTACGGATCGGCAAGCACATTCACCTCTACCTCGACAACGAGTGTGTCGTTAATGAGGTAGCCTTTAGAGGGATCGTTAAGGTCCTGCAGCGACATGAAGGATGTGAATCCCCAATCGCTCTCCTTCTCATTGAACTGGTGGCTTGTATCTGCGACAGTCATGCAGAGGATGGGGTATGGAAAAGTTGGTAAGGGATGGACACTAGAGACTAGTAAAGCGGTGTGAGAAGGGAAATAAGGCTGCGGGTGCAGATTCATACCTCTGCGAACTGACATCTTCCTGTCATAATGGTTGATCACACACAGGACAAAGTGCGCGCTCTTGTTCCACCCTGACGGCAGACTGGCAGCGTCTGCCACGTCAAGGTACAGAGACAGTTGCCCTGACTTCGTATTCCCGCGTGGGAACAACAGCACACGCCTGCAATGGAAGGCAGGGGGGTCGAAAAAACGACTTAACGAAGAGAAGGGGTAGGGGTTGAGGAATAGGAGACGGAGATTTGCATGAGGAGAATGGGAAGGTAATCTATCTGTGAGGATGGGGATCTATGGCGCTGAGAGTTTGGTTTGGAGTTTGATGGTTGGGAGTCTGGTCTGGGGATAAGGCGGAAAGGCCGAGGGGTGGACAGGAAGGAGAAGAGGGCAACTGACGCACACGTGATTACCCGGTAGTTGTTTTCAGATGCTTGCATGTAAATTTGGTGACTCATAGAACTTCTAAAACAGCACTGAAAGACACCAGTTTCCTCACTGCTCCCGCCTACCAACAAGCACAAGAAACACCTATGCGCGCGAACATGCACACACACCAGTTGTACCCCCCAGCCAGGAAGGCGGGCTTGCTGAACATTTTATCTTGTGCCAAGCTCGAGAATTTGTCAATTTCCCAACGAAAGGTCTTCGACAACGTTTTGTCCGCTGCAATGGAGATTCAACATGGGGAGAAGAAGATGCAGATATGGATGAGTAAACAGTGAACCTCAGATGGCTCCAGAAAGTCAGCCAGGTGATGATCCGACTGTTGTAAATGTCAAAGTTGAATTTGAAACAACATCGGTTAGAGCAGCTGAATAGAAATGATTCCCAGATTCTTTTGTAACAATATGCAGGGTAGGCAAAGGGGGATGTTGCTGAGAGGGGAGGGGGGGAAGCTTAAAGGACAAGATACAAAGGCGATTGGGTAAAGAAAAGAAAATCGAGAAGAAGACCAGGAAGGATGTGGAAGGGAACGGAACGGAGGATGGGGAGCGGGGAAAACCCTCAGGAGCATAATCGTGTTAAAGTTGAATGCGCAAAGGTAAGGGAGAGGGGGATGAGAAGAAAGGGGAGAGCACAAACGACAGCTTGTGGTGGCGTCTACCTGCCATGGCACCTGGACCACGGAAACCGAGTGGCTACTTTGGCTTCCTGCCTGCCTTCTACACACATGAGTTCCGGAGGAAGAGAAGGGAACAACGAGCGAGAACGTGGCAGCAAGAGGGAAGCGGAGGCGAGTAGGAGAATGGCCAACAATAACGCGGACCAGAAGGATAGAAATAGTTGAGATACTCTTTACTGAAAATGGACTTGGAAGTAGTCAGCAGCAATCTACGAAACAGATACGAGATATGAATGAAACGAATGACTTGCTAGTACCACGTTCGGAGCCCTCGCTTGAAATTCCTGCAAATTCAGACTGTCAGAGGAGCGGGACGCGTCCTTATCTGGCTGATTGCAGAACTCGAACACTTGCTTGAATACTATTAGCAGGCTACACGGACAGTGAGCTCAAAACCTACACGGGCTGGAAATTCCGAAGCTCTGGAAGCACCTTCGCCATGGTACTGACCTGAACATTAAACGAAGCGACTCGAGGTGGAAAACTGGTGAGCGAATAGAGACGCTTTCCGCGCAGCGCCGCATGCGCAGATGCGATGCAGCACGCATGTTGATTATCCAGTTGCGCTGAAACGAAGCGGCTGCCATTGGTCAGCTATCGAGGCTGCTTTTACTTAGACTGCTCATCATGTCGTGCCAGGTGTTACTACTACTACTAGCAGCAGCAGGCCGAGAATTCGCCGGCAGCTGTCTCATCCAGGCATGCGCCAATTCTGTCGTGACCGAGGACCTGAAAGAGCAATCCTTGACGAGGGATTGATGAGGGGATTCATAACGTCGTTTTCTCCGAGCTGCTACTGCGTTCCTAGTACCTGGCCGCTGAAAAGTCTGTGCGATTTCAACGAAAACAGCCATTCCTGGAGGGACGCACTGGAGCGACTTGGCTCCGCAGCTGCAATCAGCGCGTTTTGGGTACCCTGAACTGAACTGAACCAATTCGAACTTTAATAAACTTGCAATTTCCGTTGCACACGATTGATCTAAAAACACCCTTCAGCAGAGTTACTGACAGTTCCAGTTCCAAAACACTACACACCACCGCCTTGAACCGTTGCTTCACCTGTTCAAGTGACACGTGACATGTAAAACCAGCTCATTTCAATCCCAGCCTTGCTGACTCGTACCCTCGTCAGAAACCACATTCTAGAAACCGTTCCCTAGGCGAACAACGTGGAGAGTGTTCGCCGCGCCGCAACCACACGTGACATGCTCGTGCGTCGGCGCCGCTAGTCTGCTCTCACGCTGAAACCAACGGCAATGGAGCGCCGGAAAGGCCTGTTTCGATTAGCTCGTAGCGCGGCGGCTCGTCTCGTCGGGCCCCATCTTGATCGGCCGCCAGTTGCGCCGCTGCCTTGCCTGCTCTCTCGTTCCCCGCCCGGTGCTGCCCTTTCGTCCACGTTTGCCTGCGTGACCTATCAGCCCTCGCCTTTTTCTCCCGATGGCGTAGCACTTCGCGATGTGAGTGATTGGAGTGATTCGAGGAATGCGAGAGCCACGACTGCTTCCCATTCCCCCTCGGAGGAGGCGTTGCGGCGATCCGTAGTTGCCAGTCGGGAAATTTTCGTGAGTGGGACGCCACTCGCATTCGCGAAGACGCGGGGTGCTAGGCTAAGTTTCGTGGAGACGGTAGCAGTTGCGCGGCTGACGCGGCTCGGAGCCGAGAGAGTCGTTGACGGCGGAGGCGGGAGCAGGTTCTCGCACAGCCGCGCGACTCGCCGCCATTTCACCTCCGTTCCTACGACGCCGTGCGACGAGGCGTCGTCACTCGCGTCGCACGAGACAAGGCAAACCAGATCAGCGGCTTGCGACGACCCGATCGCGAGTCACGATCCGTCGCCTGTCGCAGATGCGACGACGTCGCATGACCCGCAATCGTCGTTCACCACGATCGTCTCGATAGACAAAGTCCCAACGGACCTGCTGGATCTCTTCCGCGGGTGGGGGATGGACGACCGCGAAGTGCGCCGCGTTTTGCGCTCGCGCCCGGGGCTCGCGCGGAGCGGCATGGCGGAGAAGATCCTTCCGGGTGTGCGCGAGCTGCTTGCGTGCGGCGTGGCTCCGCGCGACATGGCGCTCGGCGCGCTGTACGATTCAGTGTGGCTCGGGCAGCCCGCGGAAAAAATAACGGAGGTTTTGCAGTACCTCAATGGGCTTGGGCTGGCCGACGGAGAGATTATCGGAATGGTTTTGAGGAGATTTCCGCGCGCTTTCGCGTTCGATGTGACCACTCAGCTGCAGCCACGTGTCCAGAAGCTGTTGAACATGGGGATCAAGGACACGTCATACATCATCAAAGCCTGTCCTCGTCTGCTGCAATTATCATCAGAACGGGTTCAGGAGAGATTAGATTTCCTCGCACAGGTGGCAGGCGAGGGCCACGTCAGCACCATCGTGCAGCGCCAGCCGTACATCCTCACCCAGCCAATCTCAGAACTCCAATCCAAGCTCGACGCCTTCCAATCAATCCTAGGGTCAGAAACGCTCGCACGGAAGGTCTTCCGGCAGATCCGACGGCTGCCAGCGCACTCAGCCAGCAAGATGATCTCCACCTTCCACACCCTCTGCGAGATCGTCGGCGGGCCGGTCAACGCCCAACAGGTGGTCGAGAAACGCTCGAGCATCCTCGCCACCAACTCCACCACCATGCTTTCCAATTTCAACCACTGGCGAGCACTGCTCCCGCAGCTTTCCCCCTCCGAACTCTCCCACCTCTTCGTGCGTTACCCCGCTCTGCTGCACCTGAGCTGGAAGAGCAACATTGCTCCCAAGGCGGAGTTTTTTCGGCGCGAGCTGGGGTTGTCAGAGACGGCTGTTGTGGCGGTGCCGCTGGTGGCATGCTATAGTTTGGAACAAAGGATTCGGCCGAGGATAAAGCGGGTGCGGGATGCGGGGGTTAGGGTGGTAGAGCGAGGTGGCGGGATTGTGTGCCTGCCTCGTTGTGTGGTTGATGGGGAGAGTGAGGGTGGTGGTGATGGTGGGGTTGGTGCTACAGAGGAAGAGAGGAATGACGGTGGGGGTAGAGGAGACGATGTGTGTGAGGGCGAGGTTGACGCTGGTGCTGGTTGTTTAGACAGCAAAAGAAACGATTCTTTATCAGCTGTGGGGAAGAGGGACAGAAAGGGGCTTGAGGATGGGCCGAACGTTGCGGAAATCAGTTTAAGCACTTTGATTCAAGTGAGTGACAGCAAGTTTGAGCAATTGTTGGACAGGCTAGTCAACGCCCCCCCAGGGCTTCAGATTCGTTTTGGGCCAGCCTTAGTAATCAGGGTTCTAGGTATAGTCAACCCTGATGTGTAGGGTAAACTTTTAGTTTCCCTGACAAAAGCAGGGTAAAAACAAAGTTAGTCTGTTTAGTCAGTGTATTTTCTCCTTTGGGTTATTGATTTGCCAAAGTAATGAATATCAGCACTTAGTGGCTCAGTTTGTTCGATTACTCGTACGATTCGAAAGGTCGCAGGTTCGAATCTTGCTGGTGGGAGTACTTTGCAGGGGCCCGTATAGTGTTTCGTCTCGCTTCGGAGCATTCCGTAACAGTATGAGTGAGATTGTATAGTGTACAGTCAGGGAAATAATTTCCTTACGCTGTTTTTCAAAGGGTACAAAAACAATTACACTTTCTGGCCTAGGGTAAAAAATCCATTACCCTGCCTGTGAAAGGGTAACTGAAAAAAAGCGGCCGCCAGTCAGTGCAAAAAGGGTATTTTACCCTGATAACGAGAGCCCTGCGCCCCCCTTACTTCCAAAAGCTGTAGGGAGCGGTGAATTCTGATGGCGCGGGGTGATGTGGTATAACTAGTGTATGTCAGAAACCTATTACTGCTAGTTGGGGTACATACACTACAGGCTACAACATTTGACAGAAATCGTCATTATCGTTCAGTGTCACCACCACCAGTCTCAACTGGATGTAACTACGGTATTGCTCGTCTGAAGGAGCCCATAAATGATAGGCAGCCACGATCCAGCACAGGCTCAGACAGGCGAGAGTGTACTGTAATCTGAGTATTAACTAGGCTAGGCTAAAGTGAACCCATTGTTTGAGCGGACTTCCGCATTTTTCTCTATGCACGCTGTCTATGACACCTAGGACATCTGGTTGTACGGACTGTAACCGGCTAATAGAAAGATAGCGGTGTAGTTTGTATGATGACCCTGAAACACTTTCCAGAGCCTTCCCTGCTGCAGCCTCGCTACCAGGATGCAGTGACGGTCACGAAGTCGAAACAGCACGTACCCACCGTGCTTGCGAAAAGCTTCCTGCGCGTGACGAAACGCCAGCGACAGCTTATGAACGTTGTAACAAGGAGTAACAGCCTTTTGAGTTCGCCCCACAGCTTCACCCTCAGCCGTGGCGCGTCCGTCCCGTTCAGCCATGGCTTCCCCTATTGCCTGCGGCTGACTCCTCGGGTTGACCCGCCTTTTGAGCAAGGTGCATGTGGTACTGTAATCAGTTCGTACATTTCCTCGAAATCTCCGCCTCTAAACGTCACCTTCGCCCTTGCTGAAGCGTGTTATTCTGGCAAGCTCCTTGATAAGCAGACTCACCTGCTCACCAGCGGCATCTGATTGGTTCGTAATCTCACCAGCTGGTGCTCTCGTCGAGCTTCACCGTTGGATAGACCTGCGTTAAAAAGCTTGCTAGTGCATCACATGCAAGTCACTGCGTCGTCCGACGTTCCGACTCTCCATAGTAGTAACTTGCCGTGGTGGTAGTGAAGACAGTGAATACTAGTCAGCAATTGGCGTGTCTCTTATGGCGCGTCTTGTTTCATTGGCTGATGGTATCTGAGGCGTCTTGTATTAGGTTCGGCTTGGTTCGGTTCGGAGTCTATTCGCCGTTCTACAGATGCCGTTCAATTCGCCTCGCTAACCGGATCTCTCCCTTCGTCATCGCGTGTGAGGTCCTCGATAGTAGCTCCACCGTTATAGTCACAACGCGCGTCTGACCTCCTGTTTGAATCCGACAGGCTTCGTGGCTTCATCATCCAGGCGAACAATGATAATAAGATCAGCCATGGAATACTCGTTATTAGATCATCCACGCTAGTGGGGACTCGGATCAGCAGTAAATCTCAGTCGTAAGGTCTCTGTAATTCACCATCAGGTCCGTTTGTCACCTTCTGGGGTTCGCTTTCCGTGAATCCGCCACGTGGCGTTGCGTGCTCCTGCCACGTTCCACCTTATCCTCCACGTGTCACTCAGTCATCCATGGCGCAGCTCCCCGTAGCCATCGCCGTGAGCCTCGCGGGAGGCGTGGCTCTCCTCCTCCGCCGCCGTGGCCGGCGGAAGCGGGACGACGCGATCAGCGAATCAGCGGAGGAGGTCGCGGAGGCAGGGGAAGGCGGGGAGGGGGAAGGCGGAGACAGAGAGTATGGGGACCCGGCGGAAGACGACGAGGAGTTGGCGGAGGGGGACGCGGGGGACGAGGCGGAGATGGGGGAGGAGGGGGACGCGGGGGAAGCAGCGGAGGCAGCAGCGGGGTTGAAGCTGCTGAGGGAGGAGTTTGAAGCAGCCATGTTCGATGGGAAGGAGTTTGATATTGACTGGGATGAGTTCCCGTACCACATCAGGTATGGCGTGCTTGCAGACAAATCTCCGTACCACATCAGAAACAGTGTGCGTGCGGACAAATATCCGTACCACATGAGTTACGGCATGCCTTTGGAAAATAAACCCTTTGCTCAAACCACCCGAATTTTTTACCATCCATGCTCCCCCCCATCCATCCTGCTCTCCCCGTCCCCTCTCCTACCCCTCCCCCCTCCTCCTTCCCCCCCCCCCCGCCTAACTCCCTCTTCCTCCCCCACTTCTTTCGCAGCAACCAAGGCAAGGAGCACCTTTTGCGTCCTTCGCACATCTCATTACTGTACTGTTCCAATGCTCCCATTCAAATAGTGCCCTTCTCCCCTCTACCCTACTCCTCTCTCCGCCCCGCCAGCAGCAACCACGGCGAGAATCACGTGCTGTGCTTCTCCTTCCCTGTTGCATCTCATTGCAAAATCCTTGTTCTGTGCTCTCTCCCATCCTGCCTTCCTCTCCTCCCCCCCCCTAAACCCCCAATCCAACCCCCCCTTTCCTGTTCGCCGCAAGCACGCCAGGGAGCATCTGCTCTCGCCCTTTTTCGTGCATCTCATCACCAGATTTTCTTTCCTGCGCTTCTCATTCCCAATCTCGTCGTGTAATTCAGCCATGAGACTAGGCGAGCTGCAGCTTAGGAGAATTCTTTAGCAGAAGAAAAACAGTAGAGTTTAAAACTCTTGTGTTGCCAGTTCAAAAAACAAGATCGAAACTGAGCTCTAAGTGCACTACAACGATTAAAACGCAAACATGTTTCGGACGACTGGGACAGACCCCCGTCAATCCTTCATCAGTGCTAGCGGAACAAGAAACTAGAGCAGAAAGAGCAACCCTTAAGCAAGAACTACCCATCAAGAAACAATCGAGGTTGGGTACAACCGTGGCTGAAATCTGGGCAGCCAATCCACAACACCCTGGAAAAAACCGAGGGGCTGAGGTCTTCACTCCTCGAGGCGTAACGTTGTTGAATCACAACTCACCAGCTGGTGTTTCGGAAGCCTCGCACGAACAAGTAACTTTTGCAAGTTACAACCTGTTTTCCAAGCAACAAACAATTTCTCCATATAAAATCCGCGGGAGAGTAAGCGTGTTTTGAGACGTCTCAAAGCTACCCCTAGCCCGAGTCGAGCCGACACAGGTGTGTAGGTCGCCTTCAAGACTAGGGGCCCGCGTGTAGGAGGAGATGTTCGTCGTTGTAACTGGTTAGCGAGGGTGCTGGTGAGAAGAGTCGCACGTTGTGCGAAATGGACGCCGTTGAAGATCGGTCGTAGGAAGACTGGCGGGTAACCGCGGGCACGAAGTCGCTGGAAGAAAGCGACCTTCGTCGTTCGGAAGGCCGTCGCCGAGGTCGAGCGTAGCAAGTAGCGCTGCAGTTCGGCGCGGATGAACCCCTCTTTACAGTGCCGCGGGTGGAAGGAGGAGAAGGGGAGATATAGGTACCTATTCATCGGTTTCTGGTAAGTACCGAGGTCTAGGAAACCACGTTCGTGGAAACGAGGCCCTTTGTGAAGAACCACATCCAGAAAATCCACGGAACGTTCCGAGATGTTCCACGTGATCCGAATGTTCGGATCCAAGCCGTTGAAGGTGCGCAGGTACTCCTCCAAATCAGACTGCGCGCCTGGCCAAATGATAAGGCCATCGTCAATATATCGGACGTGGTAACAAGGTGACACCCCGGTCCATCTCTCCTTCAGCAGCTCATCGAGACGACTCATGAACAGGATGGCGAAGCAAACGGCGACAGGAGTTCCCATCGCGGTCCCCTGCACTTGGTGGTACATCCGGTCGTCAAATTCCACAAAGGAATTTCTCATAACCCAACCCAGAAGGGCCATGAGCGGTTGAGCGAGCTGCGGGTTTTCTCTCGTCAAGAAACTGCTAACTGCTTCAAGTCCTCGGTCGATGGATATGCTGGGGTAGAGCGAGGTAACATCGTAGGTAGCTAGGAGGATATGAGGCGGGAAGGCCGTTGTCTCCAGCTTCGCTAGCAGTGCGAGAGAGTCGCGCAGGTAGGTAGCTCGTTTTAAAACTAGCGGTCTGAGTTGCGCATCCAGCCATCGACTCGCATTAGTCGTCACCCATGAATGAGAAGCTGCAATCGGACGTCCCACGGGTAACTTCTTATGGAGTTTAGGCAGGATGTAGAACGCCGCTGGGTGCCACCCTCCTGGCGGTTTGTCAAACAGAAATTTCCAAATACTGTCTGGGAAAGCAGGCCCCCATGTCGCCTTCAGCTCACTCAGCTGCTGCAGAACTCGAGGAGTCGGGTCGTGACGAACCGGTCTGTAGACATCCGCGTCGTTCAGGTGTTCCATGCACATCGCGACGTAGTGTGCTCGATCCATCACGGTAACTCCTATATTCTTGTCAGCTGGCTTGATGACGATGCTGCTGTCGAGCGATAGGGAACGTATAGCCGCACATACACTCCGTGAAAGGTTCTGTCCACGCAGCGGCTTACACGTCTTCAGCAGGAAAGAAAGGTCGGCTCGCGCCTCCTTGAAGACTTGCTCCGGGACCTCGTCCCGATCGGGCCACCAATTAGGATTCTTCACCCGGAAACGTGATGAAGCTGATGGTCCTTTCCCCTTGAAGAAAAAGTCGAGGGAGATCTGTCGATGCAGCTGATGCAAATCTGCTTCGATGGAAAAGTTCCAGGCTGGCGTTGGTATGAACTTCAGTCCCATCCCGAGCGCTTTGGTCTCGTCGCGAGACAAAACCTTAGCGCTCAGGTTGTGTACTCCCCGGTTCAGAATGCGTGACTGCGCCTGTCGTAGAGTCAGCTTCCCGAACCAGCGGAGCGCGAGGTCCCGAGGTGTTAGTTCTTGCGCGGCCCTTTTCCTGGGCCGCCGCCGCCGTTTTTTGGAACCTGGGCCGTAGTTGAGGAAGTTTGTTGGCCCTTCCCTCCGTCGCCGCCTGAAGACTTCGCTTTCTTCTTTCCTTTCCCGCGACGCCGCGTAGCCTTCGGTACATCTGCCTTGGAGCCAGTGTTCGTCTGGCTCTTTGACGGGTCCGCCTTGGGCTTCGCTGCTGCGGGGGCCGACTTGGAATCCTGCGATCCCATCGACAAGCTCTTCTTAAACTTGGCAGTAAGCTTCGCTTCGACGCTCGCCGTAATCTCCTTGCGCATCGTCTCCGCGTACTTCTGAGTAGCTTTTCGAACAAGCTCGTTGATCGTCGGATCCGTTTCCAGGTGCTCCATCTCTTCGGCAGCGGCTGCTTTCTTCAAATCTTCAGCGTCCCTGATCCTCTGTCTCTCCAGCTCCTTGATGATGATATCATCTTTGGCTGCAGCAATCTCCGACTTGGCTTTCTCGATGCAGATCCCTTTGATTTTCCGGATTTTTTCTCTAGCCGCATCAGATACGGTTAGATCCGGATCCGCAGTCAAGCTTTTGATGTAGTCTTCGAGCTTAGTAGCCAGAGTGGTGAGATGTGAGGAGGACGCCGCCAGGATTTCCTCAACCTCCAACTCCTTAGACTTGATGAAATCCTCCTGAATGCGCTTCTGGTTCTCGAGATGAACCGAGGCGACGGACGCGGCAGATTTCTCCCGAGTAACCGGGTACTTCGTCTGGAACTCCACGACCTTGGTGCGGATGCTGTGTAAGATCACACCTTGGCCGTTTAGCGTGTTCATCTTCTTCAGTTTGGACTTCGCCTTGAGGAGCGCCTTAAAATCCTCTCTGAAGCCCTTGACAGCAGCCGTCGTCCAGCCTTTTAAAAGCTCCGGAATCGTGACGGACGTGTTAGTGGCAGCTGACGGGTTGACGGGAGCCATGTTGACATCCTCGTCGTTCAGAGAATCCATGTCGGCAGCGTCGGGAGAAATTCCTGTCTGCTTGTTATGCTCGTTGTCCTCGTGAATTGGTGCAGATGCGCCAGCGATTCCGTCAGCGTTGCGAGAACGTTTGTAACCCGCGTAAGTTTTCGGGAATGGGCCTGCTTCACGGGGAACTAGTGCGAAACTCGAATTTCCTAAGCCGGCGTCACCCGTAGAATTTGGGAGACCCCAAGTACCTTCAGCCATGAGACTAGGCGAGCTGCAGCTTAGGAGAATTCTTTAGCAGAAGAAAAACAGTAGAGTTTAAAACTCTTGTGTTGCCAGTTCAAAAAACAAGATCGAAACTGAGCTCTAAGTCCACTACAACGATTAAAACGCAAACATGTTTCGGACGACTGGGACAGACCCCCGTCAATCCTTCATCAGTGCTAGCGGAACAAGAAACTAGAGCAGAAAGAGCAACCCTTAAGCAAGAACTACCCATCAAGAAACAATCGAGGTTGGGTACAACCGTGGCTGAAATCTGGGCAGCCAATCCACAACACCCTGGAAAAAACCGAGGGGCTGAGGTCTTCACTCCTCGAGGCGTAACGTTGTTGAATCACAACTCGCCAGCTGGTGTTTCGGAAGCCTCGCACGAACAAGTAACTTTTGCAAGTTACAACCTGTTTTCCAAGCAACAAACAATTTCTCCATATAAAATCCGCGGGAGAGTAAGCGTGTTTTGAGACGTCTCAAAAATCATTCCCAATCTCGTCGTGTAATTCATGCGCTCTTTCCCATCCCGATTTCTCGCCCCCCCCCTCGGCCCTACACCAACCCCCCTCCTCCAACAACCCCCCCCCCCCCCCCTACAGCAACCACGCCAAGGAGCATCTTCTGGCGTCCTTCTTCGTGCGTCTCATCACCATACTCCCTCTCATTACACCCTTCCGCCCTACTCAACCCCTCTGTCACCCCACCTCTCCCCCTCGCAGCAGCAACCAAGCCAAGGAGCATCTACTCGCGCCCTTCTTCGTGCATCTCATCACCGTGCTCCCTCTTTTCTCCCATCCTTCCCCTTCGCTTCCGCCCACCCACCCAACCCTCGAACCTCCCTTTTTCTCACAGCAACCACGCCAAGGAGCATCTACTCGCGTCCTTCTTCGTGCATCTCATCTCATCACCAAATCCCATGTGGTGCACTTCTTTCCGCTCCCCTCTCCCCCCCTCCTCCCCCCACCTCCCCTCGCAGCAACCACGCCAAGGAGCATCTACTCGCGTCCTTCTTCGTGCATCTCAAGCGCACGCGCCTTGCCAAGTTCGTTGCATGCTTCCCCAACCTCAGCAACTGGATCCTCCTCTCCGGACCTCACGGTGAGCCTCGGCCCGCACCACAGGACTAGGTTCGGGCGCAAGCAGGTTCGTGCATCACAGCGCTCGCATTGGTCAATATTTCTGCCGCTACAACCCCAAAGGGCACTCACACGAGTTAACACAAAGTCCTCTTGAAGTTCATGTCATGGTCAAGTGCTGTGGCACTTACAAGTAACACGACAGAAGAGGCCTGTATACATCGTCGTTTCCTTGTCCCACCTGCAGGCAGCGAGGTGAATCAGGTCACGTTGGTGAGGGCCATCGCCAGGAAGCTCAACGCGCGCCTCTTGTTGCCCTCTCTGCTCTCGCAATTCTCCCATGCCCACCCCCCACTTTCTCTGTGATGTGCGAGCAGGCAGCGAGGTGTATCAGGACACGCTAGTGAGGGCCATCGCCAGGAAGCTCAACGCGCGCCTCATTGCTGTTGATGCTGACAAGTTCCTCTCGCCTGTGAGTGCTGCCTGCCCTGCGGCGCCTCCTTTTGAGGTGCATCATTTATTTTTTTTAGGCGCCTCAAAAGTAGCTCAATGCACCGCTCATCGCTGTTGACGCTGACAAGTTCCTCTCCCCTGTGAGTGCTGCCCTGCTGCGCCTCCCCGACTGGCGCGCGCGCACACTTGTCGCTGCTGCGTAACGTAACCAAACCAGCAGAAACGGTGGAGTTTTTCAAGCAAGTGAGGCGTGCGTTAGAGTGTGTTTCAATCTCCCGCTCCTTTCCTCCGTCCTGTACCCACTGCCCTCCCCTCACTGCCTGCCTCCACCTCCGCCTCTGCCCGGTCACCCCGCCTTTCGAGTTTCGCTGTCCCTATGACCACTGTTGCTGTGTGCCGTGGTGCGGCATGGCATGGCATGGCATGGCATGGCATGGTGTGTGCATGGCATGGGGGGCAGGCGGACATGTCATCGGTGCCAAAGAGGAGGCCAGCAGCAGACAAGCCGCGCGACTCTCTTGACTCCGCAGGCCTCTCCGACTCGCTCGACTCGCCTCTCGTAAGCTCCTCTCCTCTCGGTGCCCCCCTCTCTGCCCCCCCCTTGCCCCCCTCCCTGGCCACTTCCCGCCCCCTTCCTCTCCCCTCCCTGCCTTGCTTCTCCCTGCCTCGCCCCTCCCTGCATCCCTCCCTGGTCCCTCCCTGGACCCTCCCTGTCCCGGCCTTCCCTGCCTTGGCCCGTCCCTCCACCCCCGCCCCTCCGCATCCGTTTTTCCGCTCCATTCCCCTTGTGCTGCTGTTTCTAGTCCTCGTCTCCCTTGCTTCGCGGCCCTTTTTTCGTCGCTCCACGCGCTCACCCCATTCACACGCTGTCTACCAAAGTCGCCCCTTCCCCCCTCCTGCCCTTCCATCACCCCTCACGCCCTTCCATCACCCCTCACGCCCTTCCATCACCCCAACCGCCCTCCCGCCCTTCCATCACCCCTCCCACCCTCCTCCGCAGTATGCGAGTTTGGCGAAGCATCTGGTGGCGATGGCAGGGTGGCTGTGGGGTGTGCAACTTTTGAAATTTCTCAAAGGCCTTTCTCCCCCTCTTTCCACTACCTTCCTCCACACCCCCCCCCTCTCCCCCGTCACCCTCGCTCTTCCTCCTGCAGTATGCGAGCTTGGCAAAGCATCTGGTGGCCATGGCAGCAATGATGGCTGTAGGAGTGGCAGTGGGGAACACACGATGCACACCCTTTACCTGTCCCACCTCTTCCCGTCCTCCCCCCCCGTCCCGCCTTGCTCCCCTCGCCTCTCACCCTTGCAGTATGCGAGTTTGGCGAAGCATCTGGTGGCGATGGCAGCAATGATGGCCGTGGGGGTGGCAGTGGGGAACACTCTGGGTACAGGCAGCGGCAGGGGCACAGGAGGCACGGGGGCAGGCGGGGACAGCAACAGTGGCGCTTACTCTCAGAGCGGCGAGGGGGAGGGGGAGGGGCGGGGCGGCGGGGATGACTACGGGTTTGGAAGTGGGGGAGGGGAGGAGGATGGGGCGACCAGGGCGCTGAGAGTGGGTACGTGTTTGGGTGGGGAGCGGTGGAAGGGGAGTCAGAGTGGTGGTGGAGCTTTGCTAGTGAGACGAGTTTGCAGATGGAGAGTATTGTGAATTGGGGAAGACGAGAGGAGAGGAGAGGAGAGGAGAGGAGAGGAGAGGAGAGGAGAGGAGAGGAGAGGGGGGAGATGAGAGGAGAGGAGGAGAGGAGGAAAGGAAAGAAGAGGAGTGGGGAGGAGAGGAAGATAGAGGAGAGGAGAGTTCTTTTTAGTGGTCGGGTGCTTGGGCGCACATTTTGACTGCTTACATGGCTCAGTGATGTCTGACCATTCCAACATAGCTCCCTCTCTATTCCTTGCCACTGCACTGAAATAGCTCACGCTTGCGAATTTTAGAGCCCCACAATTTCTTCCCGAGGGTTTCAAATTTTAAGCTCCGGCGGCTCAGCAGCATATCCGCATCCGTTAGCGATCTGAGGAGCTTCAAGATTCTGGTTATATGGGAAAGCAGCGTGCTGCGGTGGCTTTCAGACTCCCTGAGTCTGCTATCGCCGCTCGAGCCGCTAAGAAATTGTGGTTGCTTTTGTATGCCCTCAGAATGCAGTTGTCCTTTTTTCAGCAGCTCGAGAGACGATAGTAGACTCAGGGAGTCTGTATGCCGCCTCGGCACGCTGCATTCCCCTATGCTTAGCTCCTTGAGGCCCAATTGATCGCCAAGGGATGCGGGCAGGTTGCTGAGTGGACAGAGCTTAACTAGACACAATATCTCCAGGGAAGCCAGCTGCCCGAAATCCTCGGAAAGAAAGTGTGAGGCTCCAAAATTTCTAAGCGTGAGCTCTTTGAGTGCGGTGGGACAAATTACGGAAAGAGACAGGTGGAAGAAAATCTTAATGTGATTTTCAGGGAGGAGTTTTCGGTGATTATTGAGTCTGCTTTTCTGTGATTTACAAACTGTTCACGCGCCTATGTGACATGCTGTGTGTGTGTGGTGTTGCGTGTGTCTTGTCTTGTCGATGTGGCTCACCTTGCCAGGGGACCGTGTCACCTATGTCAATGTGGACGGCTACAGCACAGACGTGCCCGTCCCCAGGTGTGTGTTTCTCAACTGCCGCTCGGAACCCCAGTTACAGTATAGTATCTCTCAGTTGTTGCAGTAGCAGCGTTAGTGTGCGCAACATTTGGGAGATCTGGTTGGTGGTGTGGCGTTCCCTAGATGGTGCAGTGACAGTGTTAGCAGCAGTGTTAGCGAGCACACTCTGCTCTTCTGCACCATCGCACACCTCTCCAATGGTCCCTGTGTTGATATAATATATGTTGGTCGCTCTCTCACTCGTCCACTCCCCGGTCAACCTGTGCGCCTTTTTTAATAAGTCACCTCTCCACCTGGAAGGACCCATGCGTTCTGCTCTTCGTTCTCCCCGAACCGTTCTTTCCCCCACTCGCCCCACTAGTTGCCCCTCCGGGGAGCCATAACGGTGGGTGGGTGGGTGGGTGGGTGGCGGTGTATGAGACGAGACGGTGGGGATGCGGTTCGAATCGCCTGTCAAATTGCACCATCATCTCGCACATCGCCTGTCAAATTGCACCATCATCCCGCACATCGCCTGTCAAATTGCACCATCATCCCGCACATCGCCTGTCAAATTGCACCATCATCCCGCACATCGCCTGTCAAATTGCACCATCATCTCGCACATCGCCTGTCAAATTGCACCATCATCTCGCACATCGCCTGTCAAATTGCACCATCATCCCGCACATCGCCTGTCAAATTGCACCATCATCTCGCACATCGCCTGTCAAATTGCACCATCATCTCGCACATCGCCTGTCAACACCCGAGGCGCCGATGCACTCACCTTGTCCTTTCTCCCCTGCTTTTCCCTCCTTCCTCACCCTTCCAGTCTGCCCCCCAGGGGAGCAACGGGGCAGGTGGTGGCAACATACGAGACGGTGGGTGTGCCATGTGTCTTGCTGCTTGTGTCCTCACAACTCTCCCTTGTCTGCTGCTTTCTCTCTTCCCACTCCTCCCAGTCGCCCCCCTCGCGGAGCAACAGGGCAGGTGGTGGCGACGTATGAGACGGTGGGGGTGCGCTTTGACTCGCCCGTGCCGGGAGGGCACTCCCTCAGCGGCCTCTGTGACGGGGGGCACGGCCACATCTGCTATGGTGCGATGCGGTGCTCTGCGGTGCAGTGCAGAGTACTTGGATGGATGGGGATGGGGTGATTGATGATGGGGATGGGATGGTTAATTAGTGCGAGTGTGTCGAAGCGGGGGGGGTGTGGCAGTTGTTTCCGACGGTAGTTGTGTGCGCATGTCGCTTTTTCGTGTGTGGTGCACATGGGTGCGCATGGGTGCACATGAGTTAGGTGCTTAGTTTATTGTTGGATTGTTCTTTTCTGATTACCTTTGGCTGCTTGGGGCGTCCCGTTCATATGCCACGCTTGCTTGTTCCCTCAGTACCTTCTTCGTACACCCTACATCCTCTCCAGTCATTTCAATATTTCAACAAACATCCACCTCTCACTCTCTCCCTCCCTACATTGCCCACACGTCTCTTTCCCTCCCCCCTCCTTCCTTTCCTCCAAATCTACCTCACAGTGTTTCTGAATCTCACTTCTCTCTGCACAACTCTCTGCACCGCTCTGCACCTTTGGTGCTCCTCTCTCCACCCTGTCTCCTCCCTCTTCTCGTTTCTTTCCTGACTCACCATGTCCCTCCATGCCACACCCCTTTTCTGTTCTCTCCCTGCCACGTCAGCATCTGAGCTGCTATTGGAGGAATCATCCAGCAGTGTGAAGGAGTGTGCAGCCACCGTGGCTCTCATGCAGGTACGGTACCATGGCAGACATGGAGGCACGACGGTACTGTGGCAGACAGATAGGCACGGTATGGTACCATGGCAGAGACGTAGGCATGGTACCATGAAGGAGAGATTGTCACAGTAACGTGGCAGACAGAGAGGTGCAGTGCCATGGCTGGGGTATTGCAGTGTGGGGATGAGTGTATATTAAAGTGGCAGGAGAGTAGCAAGGGATTTGGCAAGTGACGTGGTTTGCTTGCACTGCAATGCAACTCGATCGGTTTTCTAAGTGCAAGTCAACATGCGTGCAACTCAACGCAGTGTTTCTCGGCGCCATTCATCTCGCCATTCATCTCGCCATTCATCTCGCCATTCATCTCGCCATTCATCTGGCCATTCATCTCGCCATTCATCTCGCCATTCATCTCGCCATTCATCTCGCCATGGTAACCCACTTCAAGCTCGTTGTTGAATTGCGATCCCTGAAATACCAATCCGCTCCTTGCACGCTTCGCACACTCACGTCGTCTGCATCTGTTTGCTGCCCACCCAATCAGGTGCTGGAGAAGGAGCTGCCACGTGGACCTATCATTGTCTTCATCCGCGACGCATCCCGATTGGCCGAGGCCTCCTCGAGTGCCGCCCAGTTTGAGTCCCAAATGAGTCGGCTGGTGGGGCCCATCGTCTTTGTCGGCTCTGTTGCTCGCTCCGAATCCTCCTCTGCCGCGGCTGCGAAAGATGCGGTGAGTGACTGGAGCGTGAGGGAAGAGGGAATCTGCATGCCCTCTTGCATTGTCTGTTTGAGTCTCAAATGAGTCGTCTGGTGGGGCCCATCGTCTTTGTCGGCTCCGTTGTTCGCTCTGACTCCTCCTCTGCTGCTTCTGCTGCTGCGAAAGATGTAGTGAGTGATTGGGGAGTAAGGTGATGGGGGTGACAACGAGGGTGACAGGGTAACAGGGGGTGTGGAGGCTGGGTCAGGAGGCGGCGGAGGGGTGGAGGGGTGTGAAGGTGCGAGTAGTGAGGGGATTCCTGGAATCGTCTTTGGCGACCCCTTGTGTTTGTCTCCCTCACCATAGCACTTTGTGTCTGGTGCCTCTTCCCTTACTGTTTCCTTGCCTCTCCCACTTCTCGTCTCCCTGCCTCTCTGCCCCCCTCCCCCCCCCCTGTGCTGTGACTCCAGGATACAGCAGAGGGGGCGGCAGGGGGGGCGGCAGCAGCAGCGAGGTTGTGTTTGAGGCGCCTCAAAAACAACCCCATGCCTCTACCTCAGCAGCAGCGAGGGTGTGTTTGAGGCGCCTCAAAAACAACCCCATGCCTCTGCCTCTCCACTCCCCTCCCTCCCCCTGTGCTGTGACCCCAGGATGCAGCAGAGGGGGCGGCAGGGGGGGCGGCAGCAGCTGTCGGGCCTGCCAGCACGGCTTGGGAGCCGCTCAGCGACATGTTTCCGAACCGCTTTGTGGTTCGGCAGCCCAGGGCAGGTCCGGCGGCGGAGGTTTGGGCGAAGCTGATGGAGAGAGACGCGCAGCTCATGCAGATGCTGGCCAACCGGCGCATGCTGGAGAAGGTGGGGTCTGGTGTGGGGGAGGTGGGATCTGTGGAAGGTGGGGTTTGGGTGGGAACTGAGGGAGGTGTTGAGCGTTCTCAAAAGAAATGCGCAGCTCATGCAGATGCTGGCCAACCGGCGGCTGCTGGAGAAGGTGGGGTCCGGGGGAGGTGTGGTTGTGCCAGCAGAGTTGACTATTGAGTCGACTCAAAAGTCGACCCAACCGGCGGATGCTTGAGAAGGTGGGGTCCGGAGTGGGTGTGGTTGCGCAGGCAAGTGGGTGCAGTTTGCAATAGGAGCGAGGGATGGGAGGTCCGAGGATGGTTGAGGAGGGGTGGACGGAGCATCAGAGCTGGGTGTGGGGTGAGATGGAAGTGAGCGCATGAAGCAGTGACATCACCTCACCTGCTCATGATGGGGTGAGGTGGTGATACCTTTCCTCATTGTCTCGTCTCCCCACTCTCTCGCCATCAGGTCATGGCCAGCAGCGACCTCACCTCACCTGCTCGGACCTGGACAAAGTGTGTTTCGAGTCCGCTCAAAGGCCACGTGACAGAAGTAGTGTTTTGAGACGTCTCAAAAAAACTCCAGTCAAGGCATGCCCCACCTCCTCCTCTCCACTCCCTCCCCCCTCTCCTCTCCTCTCTCCCCTCTCTCTCCCCATCAGGTCATGGCAACCAACGACCTCACCTGCTCGGACCTGGACGAAGTCACTTTCGCCGAGCCGCTGTCAGAAGAAGGTGAGGATGGGTGGGTGGGTGGGTGCGGGTGTGTGGAGGGGGGAAAGGGGGTGTGTGTGGGTGCTTGTAAAGCAATTTGGGTGGGGGCGCGGGGAGCAGTTGTGCTGACATGGACAAGGTCACTTTCGCCGAGCCGCTGTCAGAAGAAGGTAAGGGTGGAGCATGGGTGGTGGGGGGTTACATGGTTTGGTTAGCAGCAGGCATGCATGTGCTGATCTTCTGTGCGTTGTTCCCTGCCCTGCAAGCGCAATAGCGGAGAGAGTGACAGGGCTGTCCCTAAACCGTAAGACCTAAACGATGACCACAGGGGAGAGAAGTGTTGACTTTACTTTTTCTTCCTCCGGTCCTTCACTCCTTTCCGGTCCGTAACCCCTTTCCGCTTCCTTTCTCCCCGCTCCTTCCCTCCCGCCATGCATCATCAGAGGCGGAGCAGGTGGTGGGATTGGCAGCAGCACACGCCATCATGCAGGGCGCAGCAGAGGGGGGGAAGGGAGGAGCTGAGGAGGCGGGCACAGGAGAGAACGAGAGAAAGGCGAAGGCAAAGGAGGGGGAGGCGGAAAAGGGGAAGGACGAGGAGAGGAAGCAGGGGGAGGGGGAGAGGGAAGGGAAGGAGAGGGGTATGGAGGAAGGGGAGGAGGAGAAAGAGGTGGATGAGGGAGAGAGCGACGGAGGCGAGCTTGGGATCTCAGCCAAGAGGTGGGTGCTTGTATGTACTGATGAAGGTTCGCGAGAACCGAAACTAGTTTACGCAAGTGCTGGATTAAGTTGACGTTCTGTTTAAACTGGCTCTCTAATACAACGCTCTAAAGCTCACAGTTAACCGGGAATTCCATCCATCCCATGGGGTTTGTCTCGTCGTTTTATTAACCATAAGAGTTGATGGACATAAGACCTCCGCAGCCCACCTGTCTGCGTTCGACAACTCCTGCGACGGAGGCGAGCTTGTGACCTCAGCCAAGAGGTGGGTGCTGGAGAACCAGCGCTGGAGTAGCAGCAGCATTACATTGCAACGCCTCCTTTTGCTGTGTGATTTCTATTGTCAGCATGGAGGGAGGAGGGGGAGGGGAATGTGTGGACATGGGCGAAAAGGGGATGTGACACACCTCGATGCACACACACACTTCCCTTTCCCCTACCTACTTCTGCTTTTGCTTCTCTTCCCCCCCCCCGTCGACCTCCTTCTCCTCCCCCTTCCCTCTGCACCATCATGCATGGCATAGCAACACCCTACATCTCCTTCCTCACATCCCCTTCTTTCTCCCCCCTTCTGCCCCCATTCCCCCCCCCCTCCTTCACCCCATTTTCCCTCCCTCCCCCACAGCATAATGCACGGCATAGCGCTACACAGGGGGCTGCAGGAGGAGGCAGCAGAGGTGAAGGCCCCCCCCGCTGCTGCCAAGGTGGGTGGCACTCTCATTCTTATTGGGGCTTGGGTGTGCTGGGCTTGGGTGTGCTGGGCTTGGGTGTGCTGGGCTTGGGTGTGCTGGGCTTGGGTGTGCTGGGCTTGGGTGTGCTGGGCTTGGGTGTGCTGGGCACGAGAGCAAGTATGCAGTAGAAGAGAATGACGGCAGGGAGTTTACATGACTGACTGACTGTATGTACGCGACTGTATGCACATGACCGTACGTGTTGCGTTCCTCGCTCCAGCAGCGTCTAGGGGAACAAGCATGCCAAGCAGCAGGAGAGGAGCAGGGGGATCTTAGGAGCCCGCAGCCAGCTCACCTTGCATCCCACTCTCTCCCCTCCCCTCCTTTCTTCCCTCTTTCCCCCCCTTCCCCAATGCAGAAGATCACGTCAGCCAACAAGTTCGAAGAGCGGCTACTAGCAGAGGTGGTACCACCAGACGAAGTCGGTGTCACGTTCAGCCAGATCGGAGCCTTAGAAGCCGTGAAGGACACTCTGAAGGAGCTCGTCATGCTGCCGCTCAGGCGGCCAGAGCTGTTCACGCGCGGGCAGCTGACGCGGCCGTGCAAGGGCATTCTGCTGTTCGGCCCGCCCGGCACCGGCAAGACCATGCTGGCCAAGGCCGTGGCCACCGAGGCCGGGGCGAGCTTCATCAACATCTCCATGAGCGCCGTGCTGCACAAGGTGGGGTGAATTTAGTGTTGCATCAGGTCGGGTGGCTGGTCCAGAACGGATAGCTAGCGTAGAAACAGAGTGCATCCCCTCGCCTTTCCTTCTCTGACATCCTTCCCTTCCCCTCCCTCCCGTCTTTCCCTCTCCTCCACCAGTGGCTGGGCGAGGCGGAGAAGTCAGTGAAAGCAATCTTCTCGGTGGCCAGTAAGATGGCGCCAGCTGTCGTGTTTGTGGATGAGGTGGACAGCCTGCTGGGGCGGCGAGGGCAGTGGGGGGAGCACGAGGCGATGCGCAAGGTGAAGAACGAGTTCATGGCGTGCTGGGATGGGCTGCGCACGCGGGCACATGAACGGGTGCTTGTGTTGGCGGCCACCAACCGGCCGTTCGATCTTGACGACGCCATCATCCGACGGTTCCCACGACGGTACGAGGCTCCCACCTTCTCTCCCCTTCTTTTTTGGCCGTGGGGAAGGGGTCTTGCTGTGGGGTTGCGGCAAGGGCAGTGAGTGGGGGGCAGTGGGGGGAGCACGAGGCGATGCGCAAGGTGAAGAACGAGTTCATGGCGTGCTCGGACGGGCTGCGCACGCACGAGACAGTGCTGGTTCTGGCAGCGACGAATCGACCGTTCGATCTGGATGACGCCATCATCCGACGGTTCCCACGACGGTACGGGTCTCCACCCTCTCTCCCCTTGTTCTTTGGCCGAGGGTTCAAGGCGAGAGGGGCGTGAAGTGCAGTGGCAATGGGGACAGTGGGGGTCAGCAGTGGGGGGAGCATGAGGTGATGCGCAGCGCAAGGTGAGGACTAGACGCAGACAGCAGGGAGAAAGTCTTCCAAGTGCCATGAGTCGTGTTTTGAGTCGACTCAGACGCAGACAGCAGACACAGACGCAGACAGCAGGGAAAGGTCTTCCAAGCCATCCCCTCCCCCTCTCTACTCTGCTCTTCTCTGCTCAACCCTGAGCCATCTACTCCGTTTCCTCCGTCCCCTTTTCCCTCCTCCCCTCCCTCTCAGCCTGATGGTGGATCTACCAGACGCGGAGAACAGGGAGAAGATCCTGCGAGTGGCTCCCTGCTCTTCTCAACTTAACCCTGAGCCTTTCCCACTCCCTCTCCCCCATCCCACTCTACCCTCTCGTGTGCCTCTTCCCTCAGGCTGATGGTGGACCTACCAGATGCGGACAACAGGGAGAAGATCGTTAGGGTGATTCTAAAGGACGAGGAGGTGGAGGAGGGGTTTGACTATAAGGAGCTCGCTGCCATGACCGAGGGGTACTCTGGGAGTGACCTCAAGGTGAGTGATTATATGGGGGGGTGGTGCTACTGATACATGCACCGGAGGAGGTTGGTGTTAGCGTGATTTCACACTTCTCGTTTGTGACACCAAGGCCCTCTGAATCTCCTCAACGCAATCGACCTCCCGTTTCCTGCGCTCCTCTCTCTCTCCTCCCCTCCCCTCCCCTCCCTCATCTGTGCTCCCTGTCTCCCATCAGAACCTGTGTGTGACGGCGGCGTATCAGCCCATCAAGGAGATTCTCAAACAAGAGGAACCCTCCCCTCCCGTGCCCTCCTCTCCCGTCCCCTCCCTTCCACTGCTCTCCTGTCCCCTCCCCTCCCCTCCCCTGTCCCCCATCAGAACCTGTGTGTGACGGCGGCGTATCAGCCCATCAAGGAGATTCTCAAACAAGAGGAACCCTCCCCTCCCGTGCCCTCCTCTCCCGTCCCCTCCCTTCCACTGCTCTCCTGTCCCCTCCCCTCCCCTCCCCTGTCCCCCATCAGAACCTGTGTGTGACGGCGGCGTATCAGCCCATCAAGGAGATTCTCAAACAAGAGGAACCCTCCCCTCCCGTGCCCTCCTCTCCCGTCCCCTCCCTTCCACTGCTCTCCTGTCCCCTCCCCTCCCCTCCCCTGTCCCCCATCAGAACCTGTGTGTGACGGCGGCGTATCAGCCCATCAAGGAGATTCTCAAACAAGAGGAACCCTCCCCTCCCGTGCCCTCCTCTCCCGTCCCCTCCCTTCCACTGCTCTCCTGTCCCCTCCCCTCCCCTCCCCTGTCCCCCATCAGAACCTGTGTGTGACGGCGGCGTATCAGCCCATCAAGGAGATTCTCAAACAAGAGGAACCCTCCCCTCCCGTGCCCTCCTCTCCCGTCCCCTCCCTTCCACTGCTCTCCTGTCCCCTCCCCTCCCCTCCCCTGCCCCCCACCAGAACCTGTGTGTGACGGCGGCGTATCAGCCCATCAAGGAGATTCTCAAACAAGAGGAGGTGGAGAAGGTGAGGGGCAAAGGGAGGGGCAGTGGGTCAGAAAGCGGAAAATAATGTCGGCGGTGCTGCTTGCCCTGTTCACCGAATGACTCCCATCCTGTTTCTGATTTTGCTTTTGCAGTTTTCATCTCTTTGAAAGACAACAGAGTAGAGGGCATGTACTCTGTTGTTTTTTTACAATGTGTCTCTTCCGGCCTTTTTTCTTGCCAAACTCGTTTCAAGCAGAAGAGGCTGCAGCTGGAGGAAGCTTCCAAGAAGGCGGACAGATCAACTGCAGCAGCAGCAGGAGCGGTGCCACCACCACCACCCGCTGCTGCTGCTGGGAGCAGTGAGGGTGATGGGGGGGTAAGAGAAGGAGATGCAGAAGCGACAGCAACAGCAGCAGCAACAACAGAAAAGACCAGCCAAGAGAATCAGCATGGCTCTGCGGCTCCTGCTGCTGTTGCTGCTGCTCCTGTTTCCACTCCTGCCGCTGCTGCTGTTGCTGATGATGCCACTGCCTCACCTATTGATGCCACTGCCGCACTTGCCGACACCACTTCAGCACCTGCTGACGCCACTTCAGCACCTGCTGACGCCACTTCAGCACCTGCTGACGCCACTTCAGCACCTGCTGACGCCACTTCTGCACCTGATGACGCCACTTCAGCACCTGATGACGCCACTTCAGCACCTGATGACACCACTTCCGTACCTGCCGACGCCACTTCAGCACCTGCTGATGCCGCTGCAGCAACAGCAGCAGACAAGGAGAGTGGCGAGGTTAGTGTGCGTGGGGTGCAGCAGCGCGAGCAGCAGGGCGTGCAGACAGGCGTGTCAGGGCGTGCTCAAGTGGAGGGTGGTTCTGTGGTGTCAGGCAATGGTTTGACCCCGGGACAAGGTGCAGAGAACGGTGATGGGGTGGGCGGCACTGAGGTGGGCGGCAGTGAGGTGGGCGGCAGTGAGGTGGGCGGCAGTGAGGTGGGCGGCAGTGAGGTGGGCGGCAGTGAGGTGGGCGGCAGTGAGGTGGGCGGCAAGCAGGTTCTGTTCATTGAGGGCGATGAGGCTGGGGAGAAGAGCTGCTTGGAGGTTGCTTGTAATGGGGATGCTTCTAACGAGAAAGTGTGCGGGTGTGAAGACAAGCAGGAAACAGGAATGGACGGGAATGGGAGAAGAGGAGGGAGAGGAGGAGAGGAGGGTGTGAGTGTGAAGGGTTGTGAGAATGGCGGTGTTGCTGTGAAGGTGGGAGAGGAGCGGGTTGTTGCAGTGAAGGAAGGCGAAGGTGGACTGTGCGTTGGAGAGGTGATCATAATGAATGGCACTGTACCGAGTTCCGCTCTAGTAGACGGTGCTTTAGCGAGTGACTGTTCGATGAATGGCATTTCGGAGAGTGTGACTGCAGGTGGTGTGAGTGAAGAGGATGTGATCTGCAGAAAAGATGCCAGGTCAGGTGAGATTGAGAGCAGAGAGAAGGAAGAGAAAGAGGAGAGAGCGGAGGTGCGAGAGGGAGGAGGGATGGCAGAGCAATCACGGATAGATGAGAGTGATGCTAATGGGGGTGAATCTGCAGCAGCTGAGGCTGGGAGCGACAGGGACAGAGGGAATGAGAGGGCTGCAGGGGATGATAGTGCTGCGACCGCAGAGGGCAGTTTGGTTGCTGGGGACAAAGCAATTGCAGGGGAGAGTGAAAGGGAAGGGGTTGCGGAAGGGAAAGAGGCTGCAACTGCAACTGCAGAATCACAAGGCAAAGTGGCAGGTTCATTGTCCAGTTTACGAGATAACGAGGACGGAGGAGGTGAGAAGGGGCGGAGTGAGAAGGTGGAGGGAAGGGAGGGAGAAGCCGAGGAGGCAGCAAAGGAAGCTGCAAAAGAGGCAGCAGAAGAAGCGGCAGACGAGGCAGCAGAGGAGGCGCTAGTGAGGGGCATCGTGGAGGACATTTTGAGGCGCGGCGCTGATGACAGCACCAACCCCTCCCCTGCTGACCTGTGCGCTGACATGGCAGCTGCGCTGGAGATGGTCAAGGAGATCACATGTGAGGACGACACGTCAGCAACAGATGCCGGGGAGAAGGGAGGTAGTTCTATCACAGAGGCTAGAGAAGGTGTGGGTAAATCAGAAGGTGAAGCAGAGCGGAGAGACGGGGAAGGCGGTCCAGGGGGCACTGAAAACGACACTCAGAGCCAAGACCAGCAGCAGTCACAAGCACCGGATTCCGCCACTTCTCTCCCTCGCCCTCGCAGCGTCTCGCTCCTCCAATTAGCCGAGGACAGCTGGCGGGAGCGCACTGGTGTAGGCCTGTCGGGGCTGGGCAAGGCAGGAGTAGGCGGGGCTGCTGGCAGCGGCGGCAGCGGTGGTGGTGGCGGTGGTAACCGCGTGTTACGGCTGCGGCCAATCACGATGGCGGACATGCGGGCGGCGAAGCAGCAGGTGGCGCCGAGCACGGCGGGGGACAGCAGCAGCATGGCGGAGCTCAGGCAGTGGAACGACCTCTATGGGGAGGGCGGCTCACGCAAGAAGGAAAAACTCACCTACTTCCTCTGAGGCGCTGCCATAAGGAGGAAAGATTTTATTTCCTTCGGCTCTATCTTGGTTCTTGAGGTGTCATGAGAAAGGAAAGCCTTGGATCTGCTTCCTGCATACTCCATCCCGCTGTGCTTTCTCGGACTTGCACATTCCCTGCATTGCGTACGCATGCTACATGCAAAGCGAACGAGCTCTGCTGCACAATCCAGCTAGCCAGAGTTAAGAGATCAGTCAAGGTTGTTGAAATCAGCCGTTGGCAATATGGAGGAGATGGTGGCTGGGTCTCCTCACCACCACCATCAGCGAAAACTTGTGCATTTTGGGGGGATGGGAATGTACTGGTAAGATACGATCTGCCATATGTACCGCCGATGTGTTTTTAACGTCGTTACCTCTCAAACCATTTTAAAGATTGTTTTGATTCCATGTTCTTAGAACAAAACGATTTCTATCCGGTGCAATTCATTTCTTTGCTAGGAACTTCTGCGGGAGCACAATTAGTGTAAGGAATTTTCCCGAATTCCTTATCGGGGTTGACTGCTACGCGTACAGCCCGATTTTCGGACTTTGCACGTTCGGCCGATTTCAACGCTGCCGAGGCTCCTCGCGTCGCCTTCGGCTTTTCCCATCGCCAAACCTGCACCCCAACCTCGCTCGTCCGAGGTTTCCTCCTAGCTAGGCTAGCCCCTACATTAGTCTGTGCCTTCATTGTATTCTCAGTTGAGTTAATCACAGTCTCGTTATTCGTTTACCTGCGCACTCCCTTTTACAACTCATAACACCTGGTATCAGAGCTACTTTCCTAGTTCACCCCGCTTTTCCGAGGGTAGTTTGGTGGCACGGGTGTGGTTGGTTTAGTGACTACACGACGGTTGGCTGCAGGGATTGTTAATTCAATCCTGCCCGACTCCGATAGTTCGTGTTTTCACTTGCCTGGAGGCCACGGGTACCCGACTGCCCACCAGACGTAGCGCTAGGCACATGGATCAGGAGGAGGTTAACAAGATGATGGCGCAAGTGGCAGCGATGCAGGAGAGCATGAAGACATTAATGGCGGAAGTGACAACACTACGGGAGGAAAACGCCGAGCTACGCCAGACGCGAGGTGAAGCGCGTCAGGAGTCGCCTGTGGACGAAGGCGAGGGCAACAGTCAAGCGATGAGCAATCCGCTGGATGCGCTCACACGTGACTTCGAAGAAGAAGATAGGCAGCGAGCGGCAGCAGCGCCAGTTGCAGTAACGACGATCAAGATCAAGCCCGTCAACCCGCCCCCGTTTAATCCTACAGACAAGACAGTTACGGTAAAAGGGTGGCTGTTCGGGGTCGAGGTCTTTTTCACTGCAGCCGGAGTTAATGACGACGCCACGCGTATTAATTACGCAGTCTCGCTTCTTCGAGGTGCAGCGCTTGAGTGGTGGCGCCGGACCTTGGAAACAGGGACGCCGACAGGTGTGACACATGCGGCAGACGGGACCTCTACAGTGGTTAATCAAGTGGCAGAACCGATCTTCGGTGTGACCAAGATACGCACGTGGAAGTAGTGGGGCGCAGCCTTACGAGATCGCTTCGAGCACGTATCCGCCTCGGAGCAAGCTCGCATGAAGCTGCGTGCATGGTCGTAGATGGCTTCTGTCCAAGACTACACGACGTCATTTATGGGCTTCGCCGACCAAATCGATGACATGTCGGAAGCAGAGCGGTTGGATAAGTACGTCAGCGGCCTTAAATATGAGATACCGTTTGAGGTTCGCAGAAGCCGCCCGACATCGTTCCTCGAAGCAGTACGAGTGGCGGAGTCAACTGATGCGCTGATGCAGTACGCGAGAGCAGCTTCCAGGGATGGGAGAAGCTTTCGTGGCCAGACCCATCGGGCCACGATCAACGCCGTCCATACACCCGACCGCCCTCCTAAGGGTCCGTGTTTTCGGTGTGGGAAGGTGGGTCACTACAGGAAAGACTGCCAGGAGAAAATGCCGCTGACAGGGGACGACAGGAAGGAGCAGGGAAATGGGAAGAGTCGGTAATTAGCGGGCCCTTTACTGACTGTGCTCCGTCGCCCGAACACCATCATCCCCACCGAGTCGTGGTTCCGATTCATGCAATCGATCGCACTCGGCCGAAGAACGGGGATACTTATGTGGATCACCCTGTGCTGGTCGCTGGCAAGGTGTTAAAACATAATTTGAAAATGTTCGTCGATGGGGGGGCCAGCCATAGCCTCTTCAACTTGGCGAGCGCAAAAAAATGCAAGCTGCAACTTGACAGGTGTCTGCCCGAAATTGACGCTCGCCTCGTGGATGGGACGCCTCTGGCGATAACGGAAGAAACACGGACGGTCAGGATCGACTGCGGCGACGATTTCGGCTTCAGCATGAAGTTTCTCGCGACAACATTGGATGGCTGCGACGTGTTGCTGGGACGTGATTGGCTGCGACGGCACAACCCCGTCATCGACTGGACAACGGGATCGTGCAGCATCAGCAAGCACGAGGGGCTAATTAAACTGCCTGCATGGACACCTGACTACATCCAAGCCCCGTGCGTCAAAGCTATCACTATAGCTCGCCACTTCAACAGGGGCGCGCAGCTATTCGCTGTTTGCTTACGCGAGTTGGCAGTTGACACCGAGGGAAAGGACATCGAGAAGCTGTGTGCAGCTGTACCACCGGATTTAGCGGAACTGATTCGGAGGTACCCGGACATTTTCCCTGACGGCCTGCCACCTGGACTGCCACCCGAGAGACCTGAGGACCACAAAATCCAGCTGGAACCTGGCGCGCAGCCGACTGTTCGGACACAATGGCGGTTGACCCAGCCGGAACTCGAGGAGCTGCGAAGTCAAATTGACGCACTGTTGGAGAAAGGGTTCATTCGGGCCAGCACATCTCCCTTCGCAGCACCAATCCTGTTCACTCCGAAGAAGGACGGCGGGCTTCGCATGTGCATCGACTATCGCGCGCTGAACCGGGTCACCATCAAATCTCGCTATCCAATCCCACGCACCGACGACCTCCTCGACCAACTTCGCGGCGCTCGCTATTTCTCGAAGATTGATTTACGTGGCGGTTACCACCAGATTCGAGTCTTCGCCGACGACTGTCACAAGACTGCGTTTCGCACACGCTACGGGAGTTACGAATTTACAGTGATGCCTTTCGGCCTCACGAATGCGCCCTCGACATTTCAACTGACCATGAACAGGGTTTTCCGAGATCTTCTAGACCGATGTGTCATCGTCTACTTGGACGATATCCTGATTTTTAGCAAGACCCGGGAGCACCACCTCCGAGATTTGGACGCAGTGTTTAAGCGGCTGCAGGAGAACCGACTCATCACCAAGGGCTCTAAGTGCAAGTTTTTTAAGCAGGAGTTGGAGTTTTTGGGGCACGTCATCTCGCGTGACGGCATTAAAATCGACCCGGCGAAAATCAAGACCATACAGGAGTGGAAGTCCCCGACGAATGTCACGGAACTCCAGAGTTTTCTCGGATTCGTGAATTACGTCAGGCGGTTTATCCTGAATATGGCGGGAATAACCGGCCCGCTGACCGACCTGCTGCACAAGGACAGAAATTTTGTGTGGGGGGAGGAGGCAGAAGCGGCTTTCCAGGAACTCAAGAATTTTCTCGTTTCCCCTCCTGTGCTGCGCATCGCCGACCCATCGAAGCCGTTCGAAGTTGTAACCGACGCCTCAGATTTCGCCATCGGAGCTGTGCTTCTCCAAGACTTCGGGAACGGGTTGCAGCCGATCGCCTACGAATCACGCAAGCTGCAGGCAGCCGAACGCAACTACCCGATTCACGACAAGGAGATGCTCGCCATCATACACGCGTTTAAATTATGGCGATGCTACCTGGTGGGCGCCGACGTCACTGTTCGCACAGACCATAAGTCCCTACAGTACCTGCGAGCCCAACCCAACCTCAACCCACGACAGATTCGGTGGTTGGATTACATGGAGAGCCATTTCACCTACCGCATCACGTACAAAAAAGGGGCGAATAACATCGCCGACGCCCTGACCCGACCGACAGTACAATCCGCTGCAGTACTCATCACCCATTCAAACCCACTACTTACAGGACTATTCACCCACGGCTACACTACGGACCCGTTCTTCACGACTGGGAACCATCAGCAGGCCACGACGCAGAAAGGGGACTATTACCTAAAGGCCGGAACCGACCGGATTTGGGTTCCCGCTTACAGGCTGCTGCGTGAACTCCTTATCCAAGAGGTCCACGATTCGAACTTCTCCGGACACTTCGGGGTTGATAAAACCCAGACATTACTGCACCGTCAATATTACTGGCCTGACTCCTCTAACGACGTGCAGCGATATGTGTCCTCATGCAGGGTGTGCCAAGCTATGAAATCGACACGTCAACGACCAGCTGGGCTGCTGCAACCCCTCGAGCCACCCGAACGACCGTGGCAACAAGTGACAATGGATTTTGTCACGGGGATGCCAGCTGGGCCGTCCGGCAACGACGCGGTGCTCGTCGTCGTCGATCGCTTCACGAAAATGGCGCACTTCGCCCCATGCCGAACGACAATCACAGCCGAAGAAACTGAGCGCCTCTTCATCTCAACGGTCGTGCGACTGCACGGCATCCCTTCGGCGATCATCAGCGACCGAGACCCGAAGTTCACATCAAAGTTCTGGAAGGAGACGTGGGCGCAGTACGGCACGAAACTACAGTTCTCATCGGCATACCACCCACAGACGGACGGACAAACGGAACGGACCAATCAGACCATGGAGCAGCTGATCAGGACAAACTGCCCCGACCCGTTGGGAAGAATCCCTCGCAATGTTGGAGTTCGCTTTCAACAACGCACCGTCCAGCACGACTAATCACTCCCCGTTTTTCCTGAATTACGGGATGGACCCGACGGTGCCTACGGCAACCACTCTCGACAACCCGGTCCCGCGGTCACAGACTTTTGTGACGGAGCTACAGGAAGTCCGAGAAAAAGCCGCAGAAGCAATTCGCAAGGCGAATATCACATCCCG